ATGATGATAACGCCGGTGACCATGGTGCTGGCGAGGATGATGACGGTGATGCTCTTGGCGATGGTCAGGACGACGATGGGTACGTGTTGTGGTCTCATATGGCATCGACGGCGCCTACTGCGAACCACTGCCGCCCCCTTTTTTTTACAAATGCCCAGGTGGCGAACTGTTGGGCCGAAGTCCTGTCAATCTTCCATCTATTGGACGATGTGTTCCCCGAGCCTTGATGTAATCTTTGGGCACCTTTTTGGGGGATACAGAGGTGGAGGGACGAGGAGGAGCAGAAGGAGCAGGAGGAGATGGAAGAGGAGGAGGAGGAGGAGGAGGAGGAGAATGAGGCGGAGGAGGAGAAGGAGGAGGAGGAGAAGGAGGTGGTGGACGAGAAGGCTCTTGAGGGCCTCGTGGAGCCTTCTGATGTCTTCCTGGGGGCCTCAGGTGCGTCTCTGAGGGCCCTTTGGGGGCCTCCTGGGGCCTCCTGAGGGCCCTGATGGGCCTCTTGGGGGCCTCTTACAGTTCGCCCCCCAGTGACGGCGAGGTCCCGCTCTGACCTGCGTCAAACGTCACTCCGCTGGACTCCCCAACAGCCACCGCAAGTGGCGACAGTTTTGCAGCTCGCAGCCCCTCCAGCGACAGCGAAGTCCAGTTCTGATCTGTTTAGCACAGCACTAAGCGGACCATCCAGTAGCTTTTGAAAATGGCGACGGGCTCGCACTTCGCTACCCCCCAGCGACGGCGAGGTCCTGCTCTGATCGTGTATCACCGCGCAACGGTGGACTCCCCAGCAGCCCTCGAAAATGCCGTCAGTTTCGCAGTTGGCCCCCCTCCCTCCCCCCCCTAGATGGCGCGCTAGCAGGCAAGTAGATACATGCAGGAAGCAGGGGAACAAGAGGAGAGGGGAGGCAAGTAGGAGACAAGCAGGATGCAACAGTAACAGGAGGAAGGCGCGAAACGGAGTGAAGAGCGCAGTTATCTTTTGGGAAGGCCTTGCAGTGCCGACGACCCTACAGGGGGACGACGACGACGATGACGACGACGACGACGACGGCGGCGGCGACGACGACGACGCTGACGTTCTGGAGCCCTTCTTGGAGATCTCTTGGGAACCTATTGGGCTCTGTTTGGGGGGCTCTTGGGGGACCTCTTGGGAAGCCCGTGGCCACTTGGAGCCACCTCGGAGCAGATATGAGGCCTCTTCGGGACATGTAAGACAACACGCAACACTCCGCAAGAGCATATAAGAGTGAGGAGGATGCCAAGGGGGGGAGTCTGGGAGGAGGGGAGATGGTTGTCCCCTTGTCCCCTGGGGGGGATGCGGGGAAGTTCCCCCTGTCCACAAGTGGTCTTCTACAGGGGGGACCCCCGGGGGAATGTCACGACCCCGGTGATCCCCCCGGCCCCCGTCCCCGGGACCCCCGCCCCTGGGATTTCCCCCCATGACCTCCCCAGGACCCAACCCTGGGGACACCCCCCGCTACTCCCCTCCCCCCCGCCAGAGAAGGGATCAGGGGCTTCCCTTCGAGTCAATTACGACGTTGTTTGATTTCTGTCAGGCTGGATCGCTTGAGGGACAGGGCCCAGGGAAAGGGGGCGGAGCGGCAACGGCGATGACCACTCCATTGGAAACCTTCTCGCACACGCTGACAGGGTCGGCGGATTCAAGACGAAGACCTAACTCAGGAGTGTTGAGAATAAGCTTCGAGGGCGGAGGGCACGGGGCTTTTGCCCGAACGGCAGGCCAACGGGGTGCTCGTCGTTCTTACAGCCAGGCACAAGCCCATGTGGACTTCTTATTGCGCGATTGGGATTGCCTCCTCTGCTTCTTTATTTGCCTCACCTATTTCCTATTTCTTCCCTCGTCCTTGCCACTTCCCACCTCCGCCTACCTCCCCCGTCCTCCTCCCCTCCTTCCCCCTTTTCCGTTCTCAAGTAACATTCGGGATCGAGCTTTCGTCAGACACCCGAGGTGTTTCCGTGCCTTCCCGTGGCACTTAAGGGACTGTGGTTGGCCGCCTCGCTCCTTCGCTTGGATCGTCCGTCCACCGACTCAAACAGAGGATTCACGAGATGTGCTTGGCTACGGGAGGTCGGCCCTGGATGGCTGGCCAGACGCGGCGCTGGCGGTCCCACGCCGAGCGGCGGGCCGCCCAACGGCGCGCTCGAGACTCCTGGGCTGTGGCGAGTGCTGCACGGCCACACTGTGTCTTTAGCGCTGGGCGTGCTGCTGCGCGCGGACTTCGCGGTTTGTACCCCGCAGGGCGCAGGCTGGGAGCCCTCCTGCGCGCTGTTCTTGCGGCGCCGTGGGTTTCTCCAGCATCTCCGAGTCGGCCTTGTCCGTGGGATAGAAGCCTTGCCGATGGCCGCTGGTTTCCTGCCGCTGTGTAGGGAGACACCAGGCTGCCGCTCCGCCCGAGACGCAGTCCTCCGCCGAGGGCGACGAGGTGGCGACGGCCATCGATCCGAACGCAGTATATGACTACCACCACCAAGATCGAGAATAATATACGATGCGATTTGGTGCAGTTTTGCTCTGGCGAGAAGCCCGTTGCCCACCTCCCTCCGCCAACGGCAAACGGGCTGCCGCCTCTCTCTTAAGGACCGAAACAGGATTCATTAAAGCACGCGCGGTGGTGGTGTATAAAATTCTGGCTACCAAGAGGAAGGAGTGCGAAGGCCTAACGGCCAGTGCCGCCGACCCTGAAGGGCGACGACGACGACGGCGACGGCGACGGCGACGGCGACGGCGACGACGAGCGCTCTCGGGGGTCTCTTGAGGGTAGTTTTGGGCCTCTTCGGAGGCTCTTGGGGCCTCTTGGGAGCTTCGTGAGGGCCTCTTGGGGCTTCCTGGGGGTCTCTTGGGGGCCTCTTGGGGCCTCTTGGGGGGCTTCTTGGGGGCCTCTGGGGGCCGCCCGGGCGCCTCTCAGGGCGAGGGCTCGAAATGTCCGTTCGGCTCCCCTGTCTGGGCTCCCTCTTGGAGCCGTCTTCGGGGCCTCTTGGGCCGTCTTGGAGGCCTCTTGGGTCGTCTTGGGGCCATCTTGGGTCGTCTTGGGGCCGTCTTGGGGGCCTCTTGGCCCGTCTTGGGGCGATATTGGGGGCCTCTTGGGCCGTCTTGAAGCGTCGGGAAGCCGAAAACGCGAGAACTCCAAAAACCGTAAAAAAACAAAGGGAATGCTATGCATTTTGCACCTTGGGGCCTTCTTGGGAGTGCTTTTGGAGGCCTCTTGGGACGTTCTCGAAACCTCTTGAGCCGTCTGGAGGCGACTTTGGCGTGTTCGACCGATAGTTCGGCGATGCGGGGCCCTCGAGGACCGTCTTGGAGCCTCTTGGGGCACTTTTGCCGCGTCTTGGGGGTTTTCTGGGCCCCAGAACCGCCCGCGGGGGAGGCGTATCTGGGTGGCGACCCCCCCCGGGGACCCCCCCCGGCGACCCCCCCCCCCCCCCGGTGGGGAAGTGATCAAAGGGAAGGGGCTTCCCTTCGACTCAGCGACAACGTTACTCAATGTCGCTTTGGCTAGCGCGATTCAGGATGAGGGCCCATGGAAAAGAGACTGGGGACGACGGAGACGACGAGGAGACGACGGAGACGGAGACAACGACGACGACGACGGCGACCAACGGAAGAGCGTCTTGCACACGCCGAGGGTCGGCGGATTTTTATACACCACCACCAACAAGTGCTGTTTCTGCTCCAGGAACTCCCCATGCCGCGTAGCCTGCGAGCTGCGCCGCGCTCCTTGTCGCCGTGGCGTCGCAGCGTCGTCTGGCATGACCTTGCCCCTAACCCTTTTTGCGGTAATTTACTGTTGCGGGCGGTGGTGGTGTATAGAAATTGGCCTCGCAACCGACAGCAAGACAGTGGTGAAAACCGCTCCGCCCGAGACGCCGTCTTCGGAAGGGAGCGCTGGGGTGGCGACGGCCATCGACAGCAATATGAGGGTGTATTCCGACGCTGTCCTCGGAATGGAGCGATGAGGGTACGGCCATCGACCGCAAGATGAAGGTGCACGCCTGAGACGCTGTCTTCAGTAGGGGGTGATGCGGTGGTGACGGCCATCGACAGCGGGTCACCTGCGAGCACGCATGCGATTGGCAATCCTAGTGTCGAGCTCGGCTACATCAGTGAGGTCGAAGACCAGGCGAAGCACTGGGTAGCAGACCGCCAGGATGTGGGGACGCGGCAACCATTTGTGAGTGGCCGCAAGAGGCTCGACATTCGGGGTGGCGGCGAGGTCCGGGGTTGGGAAGGCAGCTAGACCCAGTAGCGTCACCTGCATGATGGCGATGCTTTCGTGGTGGTATTCAGCATCTTGTCTTTCGGTTCGTGCTCGGCCCCCCCCTCGGCACGGTCGCCCACGGAGTCTCTCGACATCGGGACCATGTCCCAGGGCTTCGCGACGACCTCGGCCGACATGGCTGCAGCAACGGGGCCGCCGTCAGCGTGCGGATTCGGACCGCTGTAAACCGAGTTGTGCTTCGGTGTCGCGTTGAGAGCAAACGGCCTTCAAATCGATGGTGTTGTGGTAAGATCTAGTATGCGTTGAGCTGGTTCCGCAGTCCCTGTACAATCTCACAGCGGACGTGCTGGCGTTCGTGTCGTTAGTTGTGATGTGTCGTCCCGGTTTGTCAGATATCCCGAGTGTTACTTCGCCCGTTCTGCGTACTCTTGCGTGCCAGTCTTTTCTGATGTAATAAGAACTCGGTTATGAAGTCTGTATCTTCGACTGCAAAGGCCGGTATACATTTAAGCAACGTTACGCACGTCGGCTTTGTTTGTCATATGATCACGCTCGTGCTCATACTCCCCCTGTTCCGTTTCGTTCTTCCCGCCTTCCTCCTTTCTCTCTCTCTCTCTGCTGCTACCTCCTCCTCCTCCCCCGCGGCCCTCCCTTCCCCCTCCTCTCTCCTCTGCCCTCGCCCCTTCTCCTCGCGTTGCCTCCCGCCCCCCGTTTCCTCTTCCAGTCCCCTTGTCCTCGCCCCCTCGCCCGCATTCCCCGCGCCGGCAGGATCGGCAGAAGAGAGGCGGTCGCCTTTGTGTGGCGCGGGGACGTGGCGTGTGACGACCGCACGCTGTACGTCGCGTTTTCGCCCCTGCGTTACAGGTCGCAGTTCGTCAAGGTCATCGCCGGCGGCGTGGTGGATAAGCGCAGGACCGCTGATCGGAGGAACCGACATGGGCACGGACACGCAGACGTCGCCGGGCTCAGAGGGCAGGGGCCCTGCGTTTCTTTCCTTTCCCCTGTCGCTTCGTCGTCGTTGTCACCCCTTTGTGTTCGTGTCCTCGTGTTCGTCATCCTTCGGATCCTGTGGGCAGATACGCAGCCATCGTGTGAAGACATGCGGGAGTTCTTATGCATTTGAGCAGGGTTCGTTGTCGGCGTCGCCTTCTCTGTTGTCCATTTGAAAAAAAGGGCGCTTGCCCAGTAGCGGCCGCTGACAATTTTGGACAGCATTGGCTGTTGGGCATCGTGTTCATTTTCCGTACCCATCTCGGGCGTGCCAAGCTCATTTTCCGTACCCATCTCAAGCCTCCATGCGTTGCGAACAAGTCCACGCCAGAAGGCTTCTGGCCGGCCGTCTTCGGCCCCCCAGGGCCCTCCCTCTCTGGACCCGTGTTCCGTCAAACTTCGCCTCGGGATGAAACACCGAGGGGTTAACGTTTTGGAAGGCAATCACAACGTCGGAGATCTCGGGAGGAGGAGGAGGCGGTAGAGGAGGAGGAGGAGAAGGGGAAGGAGGATGAGGAGGTGGAGGTGGAGGAGGATGTGGAGAAGGAGTAGCATGAGGAGGAGGAGGAGGAGGGAGGGGGAGGAGGAGGAAGAGGAGGAGGAGGAGGAGGAGGAGGTGGAGGAGGAGGAGGAGGAGGTGGAGGCGGAGGTGGATGTGGAGGAGGAGGAGGAGGAGGAGGAGATGAAGGAGGAGGAGGAGGAGGAGGAGGAGGAGGAGGGAGGGGGCGCAGGAGGATAGGGGGGGATTGGGACGACGCCGAAATTAACGGGGACGAGGACGACAGGGAGGAGGGCGGGGAAGAGTATGACGACTTGAGTAAGGCCTGACGGCTTTCGCACACCTCCCGCTGGGAGTCGCTTGGCAGTTTCCATGGGGCATACTTCGGGGGTGGACAGACCTCCTACCCTGACACCTCGATTAGTGAATTGTCCGTTTTCGGTTCTCGAGAGGGCGCCGCGACCGTTATTTTCCAGACTTGCGCCCGCCAGGTTTGGGCCCGAGGTCGTTTTCACTAAACCACGTTTTACTAAAGGGAGGTCTGTCCATCCCCGAATACTGTTGCCTTTTGCTGTCCTTGGGGAGGACCTCGTGTTTGTTCTGAGCTCTCGAGGCCTTCTTGGGGCCGTGGGTGTTTCGAAGACCCTCTTGGGGACATTGCGGAAGACGTGGATCAAAAAAGAGTGCGCCTTTGATTGTCGCCGCGACGTCACAGACCGACGGCCAACTTTTTGGGAACCCCTGGGGAGTGCTCCACGATCTGTTCTGGGCCTTCTTGGCTCCGCTTCGGATCACCCCTAGGCCTCTCCTTGGTCTCTGTGGGGCGACATTCGCTCCATCATAAGGCCCCATAATCACGTCGGAAGCGACAACTTGAGTTGGAACAGGAAGAGCAGAAGGAGGAGGGGGATGATTCTGATGATGATGGTGATGATGAAGACGACGACGGTGATGGTGATGATGACGATGATGATGGTGATGATGATGATGACGGTACTGTTGATGACGCTGATGACGATGATGATGATGATGATGATGTTGATGTTGATGATGATGGTGATTGCGATGATGTTAGTGACGATGGTGATGTTGTTGATGAGGTTGATGTCGATGGTTATGATGACGATGATGCTTATTCTGGAGATGCTGATGTTGTTGTTTATTGTTATGCTGATGATGATGCTGATGACAATGCATATGATGATGATGATGATGATGATGATGGTGATGATGATGCTGATTATGCATGACGATGCTGCTGATGCTGATCATGATGATGGCAATGTTGAGGTTGATGATGATGCTGACGATGACGTTGACGGTGAAGATGCTGCTGATGCTACTGATGATAGTGACTGTGGACATGATTATGCTGGTGATGCTGCTTGTGGTGATGCTGATCATACTTTGAGTATGGTGATGGGGATGATGATGCCGATGCTGATGCTGGTGGTGCTGCTGAGGGTGATGATGCTGCTGATGATTATGATGATCCTGCTTATGCTGCTACTGATGCTGATGATGATGACGATGCTGCTGCTGATGATGATGATGATCATCCTGGTGATGCTGCTTAGGATGATGATGCTGATGCTGGTGATGAATGATGCTGGTGGTGGTGATGATGCTGATGATGATGCTGCTGCTGCTGCTGATGATGATGATGATGATGATGATGGTGGTGGTGGTGGTGTTGATGATTACGATGACGATGGTGGTGGTGGTGATGATGCTGGTGGTGATAGATGGCGATGCTACTGATGAAGATGCTGATGACGATGATGCTTATGCTGATGATAAGTGATGGTGATGATGACGCTGTTGTTGATGATGATGATGCTGACGATCATGACGATTCTGCTCATGGTGGTAGTGATTATGATGCTAGGTGTGGCGGGTGATGATGATGCTGCTGATGACGCTGATGATGATGAGGATGTCGATAGATGATGATGCTGATGATGATACTGATGATGATGCTGATGATGACGATGATGTCGGTTGGGGTTGTGGTGATTATGCTCGGGGTGATAGATGATGGTGATGTTGTTGGTAATGACGATGAGGATGATGCTGATGCAGATGATGCTGGTGCTCACGGCGATGATGCTGGTGGTGATCATGCTGGTGGTGATAGATGATGCTGATGCTGATGCCGGTGATGCTGCTGGTGGTGGTGATACTGCTGGTTGCCATAGATGATGATGCTGCTGCGGGTAATGATGATGATGATGATGCTGATCAGGATGCTAATGATGACAACGATGCTGATGACAATGATACTGGTGGTTGTTGTGGTGGTGATGCTGGTGGTGATAGATGATGATGATGATGATTATGATGATGATGCTGTTGATGATGACGATGATGATGCTGATGATGACGACGATGTCGGTGGTGGTTTTGATGCTGCTGGTTGTGATGATGATGCTGCTGATGCTGATGACGATGATCATGATGATGATGCTGCTGATGATGGTGGAGATGATGATGATCATGATGCTGATGATAATGATGATGCTGATGACGATGCGGCTGGTGGTAGTGGTGATGCTGGTGGTGGTAGATGATGGTGCTGCTGATGATGATGGTGGTGATGCTGATGATGGTGACGATAATGGTGGTAGTGGTAGTGGTGATGATGCTGATGTTGATAGATGATGATGATGCCGATGATGCTGATGACGATGACGACAATGAGTATGATGATGATGCTGCTGGTGATGATGATGATGCTGGTGCTGATGATGCTGAGGATGATGATGCTGTTTATGCTGCTGATGATGATGATGCTGATGATGATGTTGGTTATGATGATGCTGATGATGATGATGCTGATGATGATGAGTTGGTGGTGATGATGATGGGAATGATGATGATGCTGATGATGATGAGGCAAATGATGATGCTTATGCTGATGCTGATGTTGATGCAAATGCTGATACTGCTGATGATGCTGATGATGATGATGAGCGGCGACGACGATGACGATGACGATGGCGATGTTGATGATGATGATGATGCTGCTGATGATGATGATAATGATGATGAATCTGATGATGATGATGATGATGATGGTGGTGGTGATGATGATGATGATGATGGTGGTGGTGGTGGTGATGATGATGATGATGATGCTGCTGCTGCTGATGATGATCATGATGATGATGATGATGATGATGATGATGATGATGATGATGATGATGATGATGATGATGATGATGATGATGATGATGGTGCCATTGATGATTGTTGGGAGGTCGCCGGAATTAGCGGGAACGACGACGAGAGGCGGGGCGTTGGGAAGCAGAAGAGACGAGAGCGCCGAAATATTTCAAGAACAACTGGCTAATCAATTATTTTCCTTTTGGAACCCTCTTAGGCGTGCTCTTGGAGGCCTCTTGGGGCGTCTTGCAGGGCTCTTGGGCCGTCTGGAGGCCGTGAAGGCGTCTTGGACAGCTCGTTCGGCGATTCGGGGGACCATCTTGGGGGCTTCTTGGGGCACTCCTGGCCCGTCTTGGATTTTTGTTTGGGCCCTGGGCCCCCCGGGGGGTGAATCGTATCTGACCCCGGTTCCACCCCTGGAACCTTCCGGGACCCTTCCGGGACCCCCCCCCTCCTTGCGGGAAGAGATCAAAGGGAAGGGGCTTCCCTTCGAGTTCATTACGACGTTGCTAAATTTCGCCTTGGCTGGCGCGCTTGTGGAGGAGGCGGGCCCAGCGCTTCAGGAGGAGGGCCCAGGGAAAGGGGGGAGCGGCGACGGGCCCAGGGAAAGGGGCGCGCAGGGAAAAAGGACGACAGAGACGACGTCTAACGAATGACGAAGACGACGACTCGAACGGACAAGCCACTCACGCACGCCGACAGGGTCGGCGGATTTGGTAGCCAGGCATTGCCCGCGCATTTATGCCGCCTCGGCGATGCCAGCGTTTTGTCGGGACTTTTCGCGATCGGATTAACGCTCGTGCGGTGGCACTGTCGCCGGCGTTGTATCGACTAGAGCGTTGCGTCGTGGCGAAGCCTAGCACCCACTCCAGCGTGCTCAATATGTACTTCGTGGTGTTGGTCAGGACTGATTGCGTTCTTTCAGTGGGAGGCAGGAGGCAGCAGGAGGAGGAAGTACAGGACAGCCGCTTTCGCTTCGAGCACCGACGCTCAGCTCGGTATCCCGTTGGCCACATACCTGAAGCACAAGATCGACCGGATGTGGGGCGACAATCGCCCAGACCTCCAGCGTCTTGGTAAAATCAACAGGTGGAACCCCGCAGCAGCGGATAAGGGAGAGGGGGGCCACGAGCGTGCCCGGGCGTGCCTGGGCGGACGGGTCCTTCCTAACCGTCCCGACCCAAAATTCCCATCACTAACTCTTCCTGCTAGCTCCCCTGATTACCGCTCCGTAGTCAGTCCCCCAATCATTTTCTGTGGCGACCCCAGAGCGGGCCCGCGCCCAAGGAAGAACTAAGACCGTTCGGGGACACCTTCTCTCTGAAAGTCAAGATGGATTTACTTGGAGCAGGTTTCGAGGGTGGGTGGGAGGCTGTTGTCGGACAATCAGCCGGTTAGCAGCAATGGGGTTCCCCAGAGTTCAGGTTCGAGGCTCGCCTCGTGAGCAGAGCAGGACATCAGAGGTCTGGGCCTGGGGCCCCGCAAGCGAGGACATCAGCTAGCTGACGCCCCCCCCCTCTAAACAACGGGTTGCAGCGATGGGTCGATGGTTGTCCTTTTTGCCTTTCCTCCCCGGCCTCCTCTCTCCCCTGCTGCTGCTGCTGCTCCTGGAGGTTTTTGTTCTACGGGTCGAGCGACGGCTGGGCTGCCGGGCCCGCCCGCCCCCCCGCCTCCCCCCCCTGGAGATAACCTGACCTTGTCGGTTGCGCAGGGGTCGTGCGCGCGGGCATGCGTGGGGCTGCCCACAGCGAAAGGGTTCGTTTACTGGCCGGCACCTCCCTCGCTCCCCCCCACGAGATTGCTTTGGGCTTCCGCCGAAAAGCAACAACGATTGCCTGGTGTTTCTGCTCCTCCCCTCTCCTCCGTTTCTCCTCCGTCGCCTCCTCCTGCTACTACTTCTCCTGCTCCTCCCCTGTCGTCCCCGTCGGCCCGGTGCTGGGGCAGGCTCTGCCTCTTCCGATGCGTACGTTTGCAGGCAATTTCTCTCCCCCAGTCTCCGAGGTCTCCCCCTAAAAAATCAGGCTGCTCAGGAAAGGGGGGGAACTCCGGCTGCACGCTCGCTCAATCTCTTTTTTGCCACGATTCATTGCATGAGTTTGCCCATCGCATGTCGGCTCGTGTATGGTTCACGGTTTGCCTGGCGATGATTCGCGCAGTGGTTGAGGCCGAGTCGTGTACAGCTTTTGTGGTGGCGCTCCCCTCCTCGTCTTCCTTCTCCTTCTCCTCCTCCTTCTCCTCCTCCTCCTCCTCCTCCTCCCAGGAAAGAAGAGGTCGAGCCTCGGGGATGAACCCTTCTGGAGCTGTTCGGACGCACCCCTGCCGAGGACGGACGCCCCCCCCTATCGTTTATCCCCGAGTCGGGCCCCAGTCTCAAGTCCCGCAAAGTAAGGGGGTTCGGGTCGCCATGGCAATCCTGGTTAAAGTGTCCCCGCCTGTGATGTCCCCGCCTGCGGGGGCCAGAAATCCAACGTACAACCTGTGCGCCATGTTGCTGAGGCATGTTGAGACGTACCCGAACCACCGAGTCGTCTTCTGCGGCATCTCGCACGGGGCAGCCTTGGCACAGGCAGCCGCTCTCGTTGAAACGGTACCGAATGTCGAGGTCTCTCTCTCCCCAGTCTGTGCTTGCTACTTCCGGTTTAAAGCTACTAGGGATTGAAAAAAACGGGGTGTTACGAACTCTGCTGCGCGCAACTGGTTTTGGCCTGGCCACCGGGCGCTTTTGTCGATACACTAGAACCTCTGGCGCCGCGAGGCGCGGGAAAAGCCAGCTGCGTGAGCCGATTCACGATCCTCCACTTTGCTCTTCCCTCCCCTTTTGTCCGACCCAATGCTGAGGAGCTTTCACTCTTACCGACCCCAGCGCCAGCGTTCAATGTTAAACGCTGCCAATGGCCTAGAATCGGAACGGTCAATATGGAGCGATCTGGCGATCGAAAAGCCGCCGATCAGTTAAGGTCGAACGATCCACGCAGGAGTCGTCATGACACGGCACTAACGTAGCAGCCACCCCCCTCGCAACAGCAATGGTACCCTTGTTTTCTGCCTATCGCTTTTGTTTCCTCTCTGCGCTTGCCATCTCTTGCCTAGGTTTGCTAGCTCTGTGTACTTAGCGCCAGGGCTCGTTGCCTCCGCAGCTTTTGCCCTTACTGGCCTCCTCCTGCCAGCTCGCTCTTCATGGGTGGTACCAGCGTTGGTTGCCTTTCACTCGTTTCTGCCTTGGGCCGTGAGCCTGAGTGTTGTCAGTGATAACTGGATCCTGCGTCACCCAGCTGTGCCGTCGGTACCACCCGCGCCAACCGCCAGCTGCTGCCACCCCTCCGATTTCAGAGGAGCAACGGCTCATGATAATGATACGTTCCAAGATTTTTAGATTTCCAGGTTTGTCAGTATTTTCCTGATGTTCCACAAGGGCTGCAGAAACGATGGCCACTAGAATGCCTAAAGCGTATCCTGAACCAATTTGGTATTGACATTGTTCTCGTATTACTAATCGCGAGTTGCAGTAAGTCTTGACGCAGGCCGCTGCCCTGAAATTCAAAGACCAGCAGCAGAGCGCGGACGTTTTTGTAATCACGTGGAACGCTTACCGGTGGACGGACGACAGTGGGTCGAGGGCCGTCGAGCGCACCTTCGGCTACCGGTTCCTGCCGCTCGTTATGTCGCGCCGCCGTGGTGGCACTCGGTCGACGCGCTACTGGGACCCCCCGCCCCGCAACTCTCTCTGTCCATTTGCCCGTTTGTCTGTCCGTCCGTCGGTCCGACAGTCCAGTCCATCTGTCTGCCTGTGTGTCCCTTCCCTCGCTCTCTCCCTCTTGCGCTTTCTGCCCCCCTGTCCCTCCGTCCGTCCGTCCTTCTGTCCGTCCGTCCGTCCGTCTGTCTTCTGTCTGTCTGTCGGCTTTAGGCCCAGTGTGTGACTACCCCTCTCAGCGCCGCCGATGGCACGCAGCCCGTGTCTCTCGGCGGCGCGCCCGGGGGGGAGTGACAATGCCTCGCGCTTTCGCCTAGGACTTCCTCGAACGTTCACGCACTTACCTTCCTGCTCCTCCTCCCTCTCCCTCCTCCCTCCTCCCTCCTCTCCTCCCTCCTTTCTCCCTCCTCTCTTCCCTCATCATTATGCCTCTCTGCCCCATCCTCTCTCCCTCCTCTCCCTCCTCCCTTCTCCCTCTCCTCTCCTGCCTCCTCTCTCCCTCTTTATTTCTTTATTTCTCTCTCTCTCTCTCTTTCTCCCCTCTCTCTCTACCTCTCTTACCTGTCTTTTTCTCTCTCTCTCTCTGCCTCTAATCAACGGCCCCCCCCCGCTTCGCTTCTTCTCTCCTGGCGTTGTCCCTCTTCCTTCGTCCCTCCCCCTCCCTCCCGCTCTCCCTCGTTCTCCCCCTCCTCTTTTTGCAGGGCCCACGCCAATTCCAATGGCGGGCACATGTACGCCCACGAAGGATTGTCCGCCCGTTCAGGTTTGCCCGCCTGTCTAAGCCCGCCGCCCCCCCCCGCAAAGAGAAATAATCCGCCCAAGGGGGGTGTGATCGAAGACAACAAGGGCGGGTATCGAGGGTGTGGGGAATTCGTTTTGAATGACACACGGGCAAATACCAGCAAACAGCTTTATAATGATTGTTGTTGTTGTTGTTGTTGTTGTTGTTGTTGTTGTTGTCGTTGTTGTTGTTGTTGTTGTCGTTGTTATTGTTCTTGTTCGTGTTCTTGTTCTTGTTGTTGTTGTGGTAGAATATTCATTTGTAAAGAAAAATTATTGTTGACATCCGGAAACGGTTTCGCGTGCTCTCGCCTCGACGCCGGCTACATTGTCTGAAAGCGAGGTTCCCGCTCGAGCGCTGGCTTGATCATAAATGTGGGCCCTTGGAGGCCCGGCTACGACAACAACGGCTCCGGCGCGATACTCCCTAACAACTTACTCCGAGACACCCTGACCAGAGAGAGGCCAACGAACTCAGGAACGGCGCTCTCGCTCGAGACTTCCTCGCAATTCAATTCAGTCGGCGGAGGCCCAACCACGACGACAAGGGCTCCTGCTCGATACTTCCTCACGATTTACTCCGAGAGCCCCTGGCCAAGAAGGCCCCCGAACCCAGGAACGGCGCTTTCGCTTGACAATTTCACGTAATTCAAGCAAGTTGGTGGAGGCCTGGACACATCGACAAGGGCTCCCGTTTGATACGTATTGATTGGCACGTGAGCAGATAGGAGCGACGCGTCTCCAAATTATTGTTTTTGTATTTGATATTTTGATTGTTGGTGGTATTGTTGTGGTTATTGTTGTCGCTGTTGCATCTCCATATTTCCTCCTGCTGCTCACCCACCTCATGTCTCCTCGTACCGCTTGTATTCCTCCTCCTCCTCCTCCTCCTCCTCCTCCTCCTCCTCCCCCTCTCCTTCTCTCTCATCCGCCCTCCTCCTCATCACGCTCCTCGTCGTAGTTTTCCCCCTCCTCCTCCGCCTCCTCCTCCGTCTCCTCCTCCGTTCTTCTCCTCCTCCCTCTGTTCCTCCCTAGGTACTTCCTTCTCCCGCTCCGTCCTCCTTGCTTCTTGTCCCACTCCTCCTCCTGCTCCTCCCTCCCTCCTCTTCTCTCCTTTCCGCCCCTCTCTCCTCATCTGTCCTTGTCCCGCTCCTCCTCGTCCCCCTCCTCCCCATCCCCCTCCTCCTCTTCTCCTCCCCCGTCCTCTACAATTACACAATATGAAAATACTCTCCCACTTCCCCTGATGGCGTCCGGAAGATATTCGGCACCCCCCCGCGTACTGTTTTTTTACACACAGGATTCCCCGGAGTTGGGTTTTCGCTTGTGTTTTTTTCTAAAATGCTGCTCTCGCTGAGGCGCCGGCCTCATTTCTGCTCCCGAATCGTTCCGAATCGTGCTCCCGCTGCAGCGTGGGCCTCATTTTCGGATCGGTGTTTGGCCTCCGTCGTTCAGGATGGCGTTCTCGCCCCAGCGCGGGCCTCTTTCTCGCGCGCCCATCCGCCCGCCACCACCGCGCCGCCACCACCACCACCACCACCACCACCACCACCACCACCACCACCACCACCACCACCACACCACCACCACCACCACCACCAGCACCAGCACCACACAGCACCAGCACCCACCACCAGCACCAGCACCAGCACCAGCACCCACCACCACCAGCACCAGCACCAGCACAGCACCACCACCACCACCACCACCACCACCACCACCACCACCACCACAACCACGCACACACGCACGCACGCACGCACGCGCACCACCACCCACTACGCACGCGCGCGCGGAGCCACAGGTCCGCTACGACACGCGTCCGCGGATAGAGAAAATCAGCGCCATGGTAAGGGATGGGAGGGAGGGGTAGGACGTCAGATATGACGCGAGCGCACCTAGCTTGTCCTCTCCCCCTCCCCCTTCCCCCCCCCCCCCCCCCCGCCAGGACAGCGTGGCCCATTTCCCCGACACCTTGTCCGCGATGCCGAACGTGGCGCTCCTCGACGCGGACACGGGTGGCATCATCGTGGGGCCCCGCGAGATCCCGCGTGGCCGAGCGCGCCGCCCTTCCCCTCGGTGAGAGGGGGGGGGGTCGGTCGTGCACGGCCCCGGAGACGGGTCATCCCTGAGCTCTGTCTGACCGCCTGGCGCACGCCCCACCGCACGCCAGGGCCGCGAGACATTCGAACGTTTCGCGTGTTGCGAGAAGTCGTCCTGGCGCAAGGTGTGCCCGGCTTTTCAACCCCTTTTGAAAGAGAGCCCGTTCAGCCAGGGACATCTTGGGCCCAGGCGGCCTCCCTGGAAGTTTTGGGGATGCCTGGGGGCAGAGATACCCACCGTCGGCACCATCCGATTGGTAGGCAGCGCACGATCAGGACCCGTTTCCTTCATGCTAACGGCCATGATTCAGGACGCATTTTGCGAGGTTCAAGTCAGCATCGGCGCTAGTATACCCGTGGTCGGAAACCGGCGTATTCCGGGCATTACCGTTTAAATCCGATGCAATCTCGGGCTTATTCCTGTCTTCCCCGGCCCAGTCCAGCTTAGTGGCCCTTCATCGAATTGAACAGCCCTTACGCCTTCTTACGAAGACCCCCCCGTTTTCCTAACATAACCTCGAGCCTCGGTCCTTGAAGTTGGGCCTTGTGGCCTCGTGGCCATGCCGCGCGGATGATCTACCCGAGGGCCCCACCCACGTCAGACACCGCGACCCTTCGGCGGGAACGCGCCTCGGGCCGCTGTCCCTGATGCGTATGCTCGAGCTCCACTTCGCCAAGGCGCCACCGCCGGGGGCGCGCGCGTCTGGGGAGTACAACCGATTCGGGGTTGTCGGACATTTCAGTCGTTTCTTGGGATGCGTTTCAGCAGTTGTGCCTCGCCGAGAGCGTTCGGGGGCTGCCAAAATCGCCTCGAACGGCCGCTGGAGACTTGAGGTATGGCCCAGAAACCAGCCATTCGGAGGAGGGCCAGTGATTCTAAGGCGAGCTGAGGGACGTAAGGAGGGGAAGCGAACGTGCGCCCGCGGCCGCGTCGGCTCAAGCGGCCGGCCGCCCAAATATGATTGTGCCTCACTGCGAGGCACACAATCGCTATCGAGACCAAAAGGATCTTCCTATTGCTTGAGATGGCATCTCCTCTCATACTGGGACTATCGTTGCTACGGAAACCTGGGCGAAGCTGTTGGCTGGGCGAAGCTTGGCTTCGCCTGAAGCCAAGCTGTTGGCTGGGCCCCCCCCGCCCCCTTCAAACTTGGCAGCGGAGCTTGCCTATGGTGGTCAACTATAGCTCTACTCCTCACCATCCACGGCATTATCTGGTGGACTACAAATATGGTGGAATATCAGGGTGCAGTGGGATTGCGCGGATGAGCGTATACAACTATGCAATGCCGCAAGGAAGCTTGCAGCGATACCTCTGCCCAAGCGGAGGTCCCTCACTCACATCTTACATGTTTGCGTTACTACACTCTTGAGGTCCACCCACCTACTCCAATTGGAAATTTATTCCACGACATTATGCATGGAAACCTGCGATGCGATATACTGCCGCCTCCGACCCCGCGCGGACTTACGACGACTCAGCACTCATCCCCACCGACTACATCCGACTACGACCTACGAGGCCATTGGATTGGGGTTGCTACCTTTGGGCTTATATGGGTCGCTATTGGGTGTGCGGTCGAACAAATGCTGGGCGGGGACGACACAATAACGAGTGGCCCTCATTGGGGCCCCGCCGGACAAGTACCATTTCGCGAGTTCGCTCGCAAAATACATGCCTGTTAGGCAACATGACGCCCTCCCAGCAAACCGCAGCATTGCAGCGAGGTGTGGGAGGTCTCGCACGGACTATAGCCATGAGGGTCCCCCCAGCAGTTATTCATTTCGTCGTCAAAATAGACGGTCGCCACACCGACGGCGTCACCTACACGATGTTCCTCTTAAGCACGAAGTCGAGAACCTAGAAGAGGAACGCCAACTCAACTCTGGCACGGCTGTTATTCACTTTCGAGACCATGCGGGCCAACGTATTGAACAGACGTTAGCATGGTTTGATATAGCCCGCTACGAAGCTGGAGCCGCCGGCTTGGATATCCCCAACTTCCAAATCCTAGCAGCAATTCTAGTAAGACCTGTTGGAGTGGGGACATCGCGTGCACAACAACTCCTGTAACCTCTGAACCACCACATGCCGAGGGACCAACAACAATTTGACGCTCTACTTGAACGTATGAGGTCATCTGCTCACATAGCTGAGAGGGCCCCTGGCAATATTGGTGGTGTCTTTTGCCATGGTCACCGAACCGAGACCTTCCACACAGAGGCCAACGCAGGGCAACCTGCTAACAACGTCTGGGAAAATGATCCAAAACCAACTGAGACCATTACATTGTTGGCTCAGAATGGTGGAGCGGCCTCGGGGTCGCAAGACTTCTGGGCCAGATCTAGGGGGCCGCCCGACGCGGCTTCCCCTATACAGGCTATGACCCTAATGGGCTCAGCGGGGCAACCCGCCGAGTCCGACTTCGACCCCGGTACCAATACGGATACGTATTCCGATGACGAAGCTACCGCCTTGGATTGCTCCGATATGCCTACATACCTTACTGAAGAGCAACAATATCAATTGTTATTTTTGGACTATCCAAAATACAAGGGTCGTTGGCGGAGGTTCATGGAGAAACCAGTCCGGAAGGTAAGACGTATCGTACGACGGTCACTTAACGGAAAAGGCAAGGGTCGAAGTAAAGGCAAAGGTAAGCGTCGGCGGTTACAAGGTAGAGGCATGCTACCATTCCTGGCGTCTCTTGCTGGACCTCAGTATGAAGAAATGTTTTTAGGTACTGGCGGACGCCGCAGGCACGCGCCAGGCAGAGGTGGGGGACGACGAGGAAATCCAAATGATGCCAACTGTAAAACTATGGAGTGCGACATATGCCACAGTACACAACACTTCCGACGCGATGGCTCCCAGGGCGATGGAAGAGGCAGGGGTCCGTCAACGCATTTGGCTCAGACGGACTCAGACATGCAGTATGTTGATTGAGAGTCGCTTTTAGCCGACCCTGCCGACGGCCCAGAAACAATTGTTCATTTCAAGGCTGCCAGGTATCAAGTGCCAGCATGGCCCTCGAGAGTTGCACCGACGAGCTGTTCGAGGAGGTGTTCGCTGGCCACAACGACATCGATTGGGCAGAATGGCTGGGTGTACCCATCGCGATGCAAACTGGGGATGTTGAGCGCCGGGAACTTCCGCATGCCCGTCGAGGGTGATTTCGGCGTGGCGGGGGCGCCCGCGGACTCGGACTCCACCATTCCTGCGACAGAGGGGGAAATACATGCGATGCTAAATCCTCGGGTCATAGGAAATCAGACAAACGTGGAAGTAATGGTGATCCTCTGCGGGGGAGCCCGCGCGACGCTGGTGATCTACCTGAGCGCGTTCAATATGAGTTTGGTCATAATGAAGAATTTCAGTGTACTTCTGCTGCGTCAGATCGGCCCGCCAGCTGCCAGAGACGATCGCCAAGCCGCCAACCACGGGTGACGAAGAGTTATCATGGCGATCCAAGCCTTTCCCCGGTGGGCGAGGAGGGCGAGCGGGGAGACGATGGCCGCGTGATACGTCGCGGTCGGGCTCCCGGTCGCCCGCCTGATCGCATGCGAGCCCGCTCTAGCGGTGCTCGTTCGAGCGGTGTTCAGCGCCCTCGTCCTCCTGATGCGGGGGCCCCAGCGGCCCCGCTATGGCAGGCGACTAGACCGCGTGCCCCCCCGAGGAGGGATCGCCTGCGGGGAAACCTGCCTCGATGACCGACATCGATGACCGACGTCGAGAATATCCAGAAGGTGGCATACAGCGTTTGAAAGGCTACACTGAAGCTGGATTGGCTCGTGATCACATACCCGCAAGCCAGACGGAATACTGGTCGGAACAGGGTTGGGCTGAGCATCTAATCCGGCACTGGTATTCGCTCCGCCTGGTCAAGCGAGATGATGCAGGCAAAATCAGACGCTCACAGGCGGGGCCTACCAAATCACAGGAAACGATGGTAAAGCGCGACCTCAAAAGGGCCATCATCGAGGATCGAAAGCTTTACGGGGGCGTTTGTTGCACATGCTGCAGCTATGCTGATCGCAGAACCGGCTGCCCCATGAGGCGCCCATCAAGAACCCCGAATTCCACTGGAACGCTGCGGGGTCACTGTACCGGCCCCAATGCTGCGCCATATCTTGAGCAGCTGACGGAACAAGATCGCGACCCCGCCACCGCTGAAGCATAGCTGTTTCAATCTTCATCTGGCAGAACTTGACGCCTACCCACTATTCGGCGCAGTTCAATCGCGAGTGGCACGCGGGGGAACCTGCTGATCATGCATCAGCAGAAGAAGGCCAACAAGAAGTGGTGAATATGAGGATGATGAAATGGCTGAAGAAGTCGGTCCTACGGACGGTGCCCCCTGAAGGCTGCGAGTCAAGCGATTCGGGTATTACGGGCGCTGCGTGTCAGGTGGATGCTCCGATCGACCCCGATTGCGTTGTCACGAGAGATCTGGATCTATCTACTGGGGGGCGGATGGTTTGCCGTGCTGATGCCATTGGCTGGATGCAGACAAGCATAGTCGAAAGACGAAACGACGATACTCATTTGGTTTCAGGTAAGCACAAGATCCCCATTAAGGATGTGGCCCTCGGGAAGCCAAATGGCGCCGATCTGAATCCTGACCGAGGTCCCATGCGTTATGCGTCTGGGGCGCAGGCGGGAGCCGCGGCAAAGGCAACTCCCAAGCCGAAGCCAGAGACGATCGATCTCCCTTCATCTTCTGATTCGCCGAGCCCATCTCTTGGCCCGGATCAGCTTGAGCCCAAGAAAAAGAGGAGGGGGGGCCAGATGATCCCAACCCTGGGGGCAGCAAACAGCAGCGAACTGCGGGGCAACCTGCTGATCGACAACGGTCCAGAGGACCTGCGGTGGCCGCCGCAGCAGCTAGATTTCAGGGCACCAGTGCGCCTACGCCAGAAAGGAACCTGTGCCGCGTCGCGGCCCTGCACCAGGTCGGACGCACAGGACGGGGTGGGTGCCCGCGCTGGAAGGACGGACAAGGTGTGCTTCCTTTTCGAAACGTGGCACAGATAAGCTCCATGCTACCACGTCAAAGGTGCCGGGGGCAGTGCCCAGAGATAGGACTGCCGAGTCCTACAACATCAAGGGGGAGAAACGCCAGGACTTCGACGTCAGTACCCCGCCAGGAACTCCACGGGCGCCCAGGTGAGCTGTTGGCGCCGCCGCATCGGCGGCGAGCGCTGCGGCGCCTGCCGACCCCATTGCAGCCCCGCGTTCCGCGGGGCGACCTGCTCAGAGCGTTGCGGGGCAACCTGCTCAGAGTTCAGCGGGGCGCCCTGCCCCCGCGCTGGAGGCGCCGGCGGAATGCCGGGAGTTCCAGGAAAAGGTGCGCACGTCCAATCGCGCGAATATCAACCCAGCGCGTCATCCGTGGACTGGCGACGGGTCTGACCGATATATGGTGGTGCAGCGCAACGTCGTGGACATTGCTGTTCATCATGGCCCAGGCGCACGCACGCGCCAAGTAGCGCGCAACATTTTGCGGAAACGCCCAGTACTCACGTTTGACTCTGAATGGGAATATCTGGGACACATCTTCATATCAGAACATGTAAACAGGCCGGAGCCCAATACCGAAGATCAGCGCAAGGCTTGCGAGTGTCTGACGACGGCCCTCCGTCACAAGAGTTCTCATAGAGGCGAATTGTCGGACGTG